AAAGAAACACCATTAAATTGTATTTATTTCCTTCTAGTCTTACCATAGATCGATGTACGTGCAGTAAGCATCATACTTTAAGCAATGGATGTAGTTTAACAACAATGTTTGTTCAAGGTGTAACTGTAGTATCAATTGGTACACATCATACAAAACTAAAACATTTATGGAACCCTGCTCTCATTGAGCCTTTGGCTGATTCCATACAGCAGTTCCGCAGTTCCCCTCCTTCAAAAGTCAGCAGGCACCCGGCCAGTCCTCTTCTGTGAGCTGGCCCGAGAGACAGGACTAGCGCATAAGACTGTACTTCACAGTCTGCAGGAACGTCTGGGCATGAGAAAAACTGCATCACGATGGGTTCCCCATGATTTGACGGAAATGCAGAAATGGCTACGATACGAAGCTGCTCGTAAGCACTTGGAGCGCGAAGGAGAGGCTTTCTTATGCCGTATCATTACGCTGGATGAGACATGGGCCAAATCGTACGAGCCACAAATGAAACGCCAATCGAACGAATGGCGTCATTAAGGGTCACCACAAAAATCAAAAGTTCGTCAGAACCCCTGCAATGTGAAAGTTATGGTGATTCTCGTGTACGACTGTGATGGTGTAATCCTACCGCATACCGTTCCCCGACAGAAGACCGTCAATGCGCAGTATTATTGTTAATTTTTGGAACACAACCTGCGACCAGCTTTGAGAAAGAAGCGGCGACACTTTCTGCAGAACCCACCCATCATTTTGCAGGACAATGCTCGGCCGCATGCAGCGCAAGCTGTGCCTGATTTGTTCGATCGATGGGGCTGGGAAGTGCTGTACCATCCACCATACTCCCAGGGCTTAAGCCCTTGTGACTTCGACTTGATTCCTAAGATGAAGAAACCACTTCGTGGCATTCGCTTCAGAACTGTTCCAGAGATTCTTCAGGCAGTAGACCGCTCCACTCGAACTATCAACACAACAGACGCTGCTAAAGGTATCCTACGACTTCCACATCGCTGGCAACGGGTTGTACACAATGCTGGTGACTACACTGAAAGACAGTAAAACTTCGAAACATGCATCTATTTTGTATCAGTTGTAAATAAATACAAGGGTTGGATAAAAAGTAGTGGCAACACTGCTGTAACATGAAAGATGTGCATCAGGTGGCACTAGCGCCGTCTGTAGCTGATGGCAGAAATTCAGTTGAAGTAGTGCAGTGAGTGGCTGTGGTTGCGTTTCATTAAGTTGCATTGTGCATCGTCTTGAAGTGCAGGAGCCCAGTTCAAGCGCCCTAAAAACATGTTTATGTAACAAGAACAACGCTCCTGGATAAAAATCGAAGTTGCACGAGGTCGTAGTGCACAGAACTGTTATCAGGGACTGCGAGAAGCATGTGGTGATGCTGCTTTGCCATATCGCACAGTGGCACGATGGGTGAAATTGTTCTGTGAAGGGAGGGATGTCATTCAGGACGACCCCATGTTGACAACCACACAATTCAGCTTCTTGCTTCTTTGCTGTATGTCGATCGTCGATGGGTTGCGAGGGAGTTAGCTGCTGAGGTAGGCGTATGTCACAAAATCGTGCTACACATTCTGCACGATATTCTTGGATACCATAAAACTGCAGCGCGTTAGCCCATACAACGTCCGAGGTGCAACAATGGCAACGTTATGCACTTGCACAGGACTTGTCGGACCGGTACCAGAAGGAAGGTGACGACTTCCTTGGAAGGATCGTCACTCTGGACGAAACTTGGGTTGGCTCTTACGAACCGCGCTTCAAGCGACAATCAAATGAATGGAAGCATCCTGGCTCTCCTCATCCAAAGAAAGTGCGCCCTACACAGAGTAATGTGAAGGCAAAATTCATTGTGGCATTTGACACTCTTACGAACCGCGCTTGAAGCGACAATCAAATGAATGGAAGCATCCTGGCTCTCCTTGTCCAAAGTGCGCCCTACACAGAGTAATGTGAAGGCAATGTTCATTGTGGCATTTGACAGTGACGGAGTGATACTGTACCACACTGTACCTCAATGACAGACAGTAAACACTGCCTACTACTGCAGTTTCCTGTGTAATCATCTTCGTCCAGTACTCAGGAGAAAGCAACGACACTTGTTGGCAACGAACCCCACCATCCTTCATGACAATGCAAGGGCTCATACTGCTGACGCTGTCAAGGATATCCTTCGCCGCTGGTGATGGAAGATTCCTGAATGTGCAAGGGCAAACCTCATGTTTTCAGCCTCCACAATTGTCTTGCTTTGTTTTAACTTTGCCATGCATTAATGTTTATGCTTCCCAAGACAATTGTTTCTATTTCTACTTACCACATACTACAGCAAAAATAATGGTTAACAATCATGTATTTGTACAATACTATTTTAAGTAAGATAGTGATTTTAGCCCCATGAAACAAAGGACAATACAACAAAAATGTGGACTCACTCAGTAAGGTAGCGTTTAATGCTAGTGTGTCAGTTTAAACAATGACCTCATGAAAGAAAAATTAATATAATTATCTTTTTTTTTTCAAGTTCAACAGGCAAACAAGATATCCACAGAACTTTTTCACCTCTCTTGTGAAACATAATTTTTTGAAGTGATTGATACCAAGGACTTCTGGGTTGACATCATGTAGTCTGGTTAATGGTTACCAATGTTTCAGGGGAATGACACTGCAGTATGTACAGATCTTTCAGCTGTCTTAGGCTCTTAAAAAAAGTCAGTGCATATAATTTCCTTAAATATATGTCTGAGAAAGATAAAACTGGGTCTCTCGAAGTGCCTAATCCAGCAGCTGACATGAAATTTGAGGTGGCAAAGAGAAGTAAAATTAATACAAAATTTCTGGGTCTCCTGTGTAAGTCATCCATAAAATCTATCAGGGGTTCACTCAAAAGAAATCAGACATGGCAAAACATTTCACACAAAACTGACACAGAACACAATGGAAGTAGGGCATTTGAGCTGTCCTTTTGGATCAAACAACAGCATGTCTGATTAACTGCTTTTATAAATTTTCATTATGTTCATCCATTATCACACATATGTTAATGTTTCTATCTTTCAGATTTTCTCTTACGTCTCCTACTACTCTGAGACCATGAGTTCCGCTAACACAGATGGTACTTATCACTCTCACCTTTGCCAAACATCAGTTTTCATTACCAGTCTATTAAGCATACAAATGGACATATGCTTAAAAGCAAAGGAAGAAAATCTGATTTGAATGGGCTTAATTATGTGAAATGAAAATGAATCCATCTCCACAAACCATGGTTCTTCTTGAGAGGTTAACATTAACTTAGCTCATCAAGATATTCACCTTTTACACAATCCAAAAGTTCATTACAATTTTCGCAAGAGACCACCACTGGAACCTAGACAATATACTTGCACCCAATTCCGTAAGAGCCGCTTTAATGTCTATGCCTACATCATGTGAAAAGAACTGTCAAAATACAAGTGAGACTGCTGGGGCTACACATTCAAAGACTTCAGTTTGTATAGAATTGCTAACCTTTAACATAAATAGTAAAAGGTAAAGTTGTCCCCGTGCTTAAATAATTAAGCACCAAACCATGAAGGCATACAGGGAAGTGGGTATATAGGCAAATTATGTAATTCTGCTACAGCAACCTCTCACATCAGGTTAGAAGCAAGATTAGTGTGACCTGTTTCAAGACGTTTGCCTACTGGACAGGTGGTCTGCATTATTCTGCTGTTCATTTCCATACTGCCAGCAGGACATATAGTTAGTTCACTGCAGCTAACATGACACACTTTGCATAGACCTGCCATGGTAGCCAATAATTCTGAGCCCACTTTACTACTGCAGTCAAACTTACCTTACTTTATAGAAGTGTCCCAAAGGGACAAATGCCTATCTGCTTCCAAGCATCATTCCCATCATGAGAATGCTTCCAGACATATAGTAAAGCTGGTTTATGGAGATAGCAGAAATTTAATTCTTAACATTTTCTGATGTTCTTTCAAAAAGTGCAGATTGTTCACACAAACTTTTTCTTTTAGTGTGCCCCCTCCCACACAAGATAAAATGATTTAAGTTGAATGATCATGGAGACCACACTGACAGACTTTCTACTACTTCACCAAAGATCTTATCTAATGTGTTCAGAGAACTGTTTGTAGTTTGTCTTTGTGTTATCTTGCTTTAAATGCCCATACAATTTTTCTTCGTAAGACAGCTGACTGAAGATGGATGAAAGCATTAATCTCAAATAAAGTCTGGAATCTACTGTTTCATGGAAAAGCATAGGCCCAATTATGCTCTGCACACTAAATCCCAGCTTTACCATCATGCAATTGCAGTTCATGAATCAAGAATTTTCAGTGATCAGAATGAAATGTTTACCCCGCCAAGGTGACGTGAAATATCGTCGCTTTCGGCAATTTTTGAAAGCTCCTACGGGAGCTAAATAAAATCTCACATAGGTTGTAAGTTCTGAGTCAAGTTTTTACCTTCTATCTTCGTTTCTATATCAACACTAATACAGCACCTACTAATTCCACTCTTATTAGGATTTGTCACTTCACAGTAAATTTGAAAGCTGTACACTAGAGTGCCTATACAACAGGTGAGCTGCTGCTCTGCCAAACTGTACTGTACCACCAAGTGCAGTGTTCTAACAAATACTATGAATAGTGGGGTTGCTACAACACAGCTATTTAACATTATGTTGCTAGTGCATTAAAAATCTCCCATTCCTCTCGCAAGACTTGCTAAAGGACACAATACAAAGCCACTGGAGGGGGGGGGAGGAGGAGGAAGGATGGAATAACAGAGAACTTCTCTAAGATAACACATACCAAGTGAAATACAATGCCATTAGCAGTGTTAAAATTGCAACAGCTCTCTCTCATTTGTAATTTATAATCTTCATGGTATGCTGAAATGACATCAAATTAAGGTAATTTACATCACAGGAACAGAGGCTACATACTATACTACTTATATGAAGAGAGATTGTACATCAGAACATGGTAATCCTTTCAACAATCTTTCTTTATTTTCCCAGACAGATGTGATTACACATAAAACCCTAAAACCAATGCCATACCTGAAGTTTACTGTCACTATAAAAAGTACAAAGATTGTGGATTTTATGTTTCATATATCCAAATAATTCACATCTCTTTCAGTGGTTCACTAAATTTTATTGTTCAATATCATCAGTAAATTATGCACCTGGTATACTCACATAATATATATTATTAATTTATTTTGTGTAGTGAGGTAACAGGGAAAGACTTTCAATCATGTAGATAAAATAAATTTCATTTACAAAAGGGTTCTTTTTATCTACTTGGCAGCTTATTTGAAACACTGGTTAATTTGTCTAATAACTTGTACCAGTGATAATCTGTGAGACACTACTATGCCACATAGTATTTATATATATATATACTATATATATAAATATATACAGTGTATATATATAAAAACAGAAGACCAAAAAAACAGGCTGCGAACAAACAGGACTCGCTGCATGTCGAGCTATGGATGACAACTTACTTCTAAATATGTGGTATTCTCATCTCTGACATAATTTTTATTACACTTCATTCATTTTTAAAATTACAAATATACTAAAAAAAAAACGACTCTGATCCTTTATTTAAGAAGGGGTTACTAAGATAAGAAGAACTCAAGATTTTCTCTTGGTCATTCATATCTTGCTCACAAGTAGAGGCTGCCAATAACTTCCATGGACTGGTCAGTTACCAGCCAGCAAACCAGTTTTGATGAATAAGGCACCAGTAGAGTCAGAGACGAACATACCAGTCACTCGTTGTGTTGTTTCACTTTAATACCACTACTGAAATTCAATAAATTTCATACATTTAATGCAGCAGCATATAAACAAAGATTTCTGAAAAATGATTCTTCACAACTGACTTCAGTTGAGTCCAAAGTTCTGAAATATTACTTTTCTTTTCACCCCATCAATAAATGAAATGCACTACCAGAAGATATATGTTCCAGAATACTGTTGACTTTCCTCTATGGACACCACAGGCAATTTTATTAATGTTGGATATTTACTGCAACACAAGATAAGAATTCAGCACTTCAGCATGAGGGTTGGCTTGTTCTTCAATGTCTCTCCTGCTGTGAGAAAATAAAAAATACTTACCTCAGTGAATGAGAAATAGGATCCATTTAGTCATCATCCTCACCAGATTCAGATTCTGAAAAATATAAAGTACTAACAGTCAAATGTGGAACAACTTGAAATAATGTTTCTGCCAAATACCTCTGTACAGACACCAACTACCTACGTGCAACCAACAAACATCAGGTGTGAGGATTAAGAATACACTACTTTTAGCCAATAAAACACACATTGTTTCCACAGAAATTAAATACTATGACAAAACACATTCTTCAGTCTCTGTAAATCCAGTACAATATCATGAAGACAAAGGCAGATGGTTCTGAAATGCCATACATAAGCCATGCTATATGGTGTCATATTGTAGGTGACCATAAACTTCAGATTCACTGAGAATGAGAACCTCAAATTTGATCAAGTATTATTTATCAAAGTGTGATATGAAAAGACCTGGTATTTTGTGTACAGAAAGGCAGCTTAATTATCTGATCTGAAAACAAATTAAAGGGTCTTTCTTGGAAGGGTCAATTGCCTGTCTCTCTTACTGTCAGCCTGTCAGCCAGAACTTCAGCTGTCACCTGCTGAAAGAAAGGAGTCTCAGTCTTTACTAATATGCAGGCACTATAAACACCATGCATTTCTAAGTAAATAAACTGTTTGGAACTTGACATCTCAGTGGATGCTCCAAATGTCTCCCTTCTGCATTTAAACAAAGTCCCTTGAAAAGAATGTTTGGCACTATTTCAAGTTCACTGACCTAGATGTAACTGTTTCACAAATGATGTGCTTAAGTTTATGCAGCGCCTGGTACAAATTGAATACACTTTGTTCGTTAGGTTTTCCCACACATTAAAATCAGAGGGATTTAAATTTGGCGACCTCATGGGCTACAATCTCCAAAACATCAGTCTGTCTTCAAATGTCTAGTTTAAAACACTGCCTGAATAATTAGCAATGTGTGCTACAGCATCATCTTGGTAAAACAACCATGTCCTCTCTTCCTCTGTAATGCTCTCAGAAAAGGGTCAAAGAATGTTACTGGCACACTGCTCTGAATTAAGCATTACAGAATTATGAGTCCTACTAGTACTGTAGCAGCTTCACTCTCCGACCACTTCCCTCCCAGGGAAAGAGGCCCCAGTACCCATTGGAGAGGAAGTTGGGTGGACCCCAGAGCTGGTCTGGACATGGAGAAAATTTTTGACCATACCAGGACTTGAACTCTGATCCCTAAATTGTCCAGCCTGTAGCCAGTTGCTATGCTGACTATGCCATTATGGCCCCTACACTGACATGTACTTACCACAAGAACCACTTAGAAAAATGCAGTCTTCTTTCCTAACTGCCTTCTCCAATTGCTTAAACCTGTCAAATTTTACATGACACTATAAGTAACATTTTAGTTTTTCTCAATGCTGTTGTAGCTAAAACCTGTACCTGTTGAGCTAATCATGAGGGATTTGGGAGCACTCTGCCACCAATTCTGTCAAGCTTCTCCTAAGTTAGCAAGTACTCTGTCCCATGTATTTATTGTCCAAAAATGATCCAGATGATTGCATTTTTTTTCACCTATTCAAAACACACTGATGAAGGTGGAATCTGAATACCAAGATACTTTGGTAAAACATTTTACATGACCTTATGGCTTCTTTTTCACATTAAATATTACACAGAAAAGCCTGTTGAACAAGCATATGTTTCACTAACTCACATCAGTACTATAAATGAGAATATGTTTGTCTTAATGTCTTACCAAAAGAGAAAATAAAGGGAACTGATATGTATTACAGTCAGTCATTTGCAGCTGTAGTCAAAGCACAGTAATCTACCTGAAGGTCTCATTCTATCTATCACTTAAAGCACATTCAGTTACTGCTTGTACTTCTTCTCATAGCCAGGGCAGCAGGATTCAACCTTTCAAGAAAGACTCTGTATAACATATTAGGCTTGATTAACCTTTATCCTATGGGCATTTAAATTCCGTTATGGGCAGCGGTACGGAATTAATTTAAATACCCACGATTATAAATCCATAAAAACTGCAATCATTTACTAAATTTGCTCCTATTTCTGCAATTTCTGTGATAAACGAACGAAATAAACGCTGTTTTTTTTCTAGAAAGAATGTAGAATCAGATATTGTAATTTACAGACTTTATAAAATGTGTAAAAAATTTTAGACTGATTCCAAATAAAAAATTCCCAAATTTGTCGTCTCTCTACAAGAATTCAGAGTTCTTGGAACGAAGAATGTTGTATGTAAATGTGGCAACACAGCAGCGGATAGTTTATGGAGCCATGTATAGTCTTGCATGTCTCGAAAGATTATACACGTACGTCATTTCGGTATGCAGAGATGTGGGGTGAGTATCTATTCGTATACAAGAACCCTGATTGTTTATAATCGCTCGTTGCAAAACAAAAAGCTCTCTCTTCTCACTCTGCTGGAAGTAGATTATAAGTACTTTCAAGGTTAGCATCCTGATACCACAGCCAAGCAGTGTCAAAAGTTAGCATTCTGCGAAGTTGTGAACCAACGATTGCGCTGTCTCGTTAGGAAGACGCTGACATATTTCAACTCATAAACGACTCCGAATAAGACTGTTGTAAATTCAATTCTGAGAGTGGCGTTGAGGAAAGTGAATGATAAATTCATTTCGACGAAGACCCATCATCTTGGTCGGCAACCTGTTGACCACCACACCAGCATGGCAAGAGGAGTGTGAATAATTATTATGGTGGAGCTGTGTGCAAACTGTGGCAAACAGTTATAGCATCTGTTGTCGAACCTGGAAATGGACAAATAAGCTATTTTTCCATCTCCCTGATCTGAACAGTTACATCCTGTTGTCACACTGAGAATTTCGTCAAGCTCTTGTGCGGAACATGCTGGAAGTGGTCCACCTCGCCATCAACGGCCAGGGGTCGAACCCCTGCCGTTTTATGGGAGATATCTCGACTATAGAAGGCCAAACCACATCACTGGCCGACTTGCTCTACTTCGCAATTGAGGTGTCGTGTGTGCTTTTCGCGTGGGAAACGAAAGACCCTCCAGACAAAGTGTTTGAAGTGCGAAATCGGACTCTGCATTTCCGGATTTTTTTGAGAATTCCACACGAAGGCAACATTCCGGCAGATGACGCAGGTGGGAAGACAGACCCTCCATGCAGATGGTGGCCAAAAATTACATAAGTAGAACATCATTTTCTACGTTAAAATATAATTTTATATAACGTTCGCACGCGCGGACTGTGCGACCAGGGGTCGAACCCCTGCCGTTTAATTGGAGATATCTCGATTATAGAAGGCCAAACCACATCACTGGCCGACATCCTCTACTTCGCAATTGAGGTGTCGTGTGTGCTTTTCGCGTGGGAAACGAAAGACCGTCCGGAGAAGTGCGTGAATTGCANGCGCGGACTGTGCGACCCCATATGGCGTCATTCATACCGCTGACTTTATTTCTGCGACCCCATATGGGGTCTTTAGTCGCTTAAAGGTTAAATACAAGTACACACTACTGTTCCACATGCATTGACCATGGTGTTTACAAGAACCGATCAAAATGGGAATCCTTGCTGAAACCTGCATAAGTGGAACAGGATTACAAGCCAAAAACTTTCATATATTAATCTACCCTCTGCATAAGTTTCAAGCATGAAGTAGAAGGTAACTGGTAAGTTCAGGGGACATACTACTCGGGGTGGGGGGGCGCAGAGATCAATATTCTTCACAACTTTTCACTTTGGCAGAGATAAGGAATAAAGAAGCTATATGGAAATATGCACACTCAAGCAAGCCTGTTGTGGGTGAGTAATATCTGACATGGCAATGATAGCCTTGCCCACAGATATAATAAATGTAAACAGTAGATCTTATGTTCAACCTTTCTCCCTCACCTTCTTCAGCATTCTGCAGCCATTCAATGAACTTCTTCATCTGGTCCAAGAAAAGCATCTTCCCCTTAACAGAATGGCCCTCCTTGTACCACTTCAGAATCACCTCCTCTGACAGAACATCAGCTATAACAAACATCAGAATGTCAGATGGGCCAACATGTACCAGCAAGCATCCAAATACAAATTCTCACATCACTACCCAGAATCAACCTTTTATTTCTTTCCACAGTTTTTGCACATCCTACCATTCTGGTCACATCTGATTCCATATTTGTGTATCTACAACATTTCACACAAATAAAAATAAAACCATAAAAAAATATTCTATGTAAGAACTATTTAGTGTCTAGTATTACTCATCTACTACAGCAACACCCTCAATTACACAATGCATATAAGAAGACTAAGGACAGTCCAGACAAAGGCTGTCTTGGAACTGTCATTTTACACACAGTAGGACCATCAAATGTGTGAAAGAATTAGCAGCCACTGAATGATCCAGTACTTGAATGGGTCCTTATATCCACATGTGTGAGGATGTGTAGAAAAAACATCAGCAGATATATTCTAGCATATGCACTCTATGTACAGGGCACGAGGTGTGTGAGGCCCTTTTAAGTTTGGCAAGTTTTGATTTCCAAAATTTGGCACACCAGGATGTCACAAACAAGGGGCAGTTAGTGCTGCGTATAACTTGGGAAGACACTCTCATAAAAAATTACATTAAGTTAGACACAAATGGATGTGTGGTGTTGGCACCATGCATTCGTATTTAGGTTGAGACTTAAATATTTTAGCTTTGTTTTTTTCCTATTGGAGAACAGATTCTTGAAAAATTTTACAGCAACTTTTATTACAACTAAAACCTACATAAACACAGCACCTCACCAGCATGTGTTTGCAAGTGTCAGCAGATGCTTAGTCATCGGCACAACCCAATGAATCCTCCTGAATAATTCAAATATCTAAAAAAGAATTAAACAAACTTATTGAATGAGCTATTCAGCTGTTACATTCTATTACCAAATAAGCATCTATGTATTCAACAGTGCCCATCAGTACAGAAACTATCACATATGTTGCTCTGAGAGTAGGAGCAACTATGGAACAACCTGGCCTGCTCTTACAGGACAACATTACTGAATGACCTGCTTGATAGTTATATTCTGCTACCAAATAAGTATCTAAAATATTCAATAGTGCCCATCATACCATCACCACACATCTGCTACTACCATTCCCACGAGGAATAAGATGACATGCATTAAACAAAGGCAAGCTTCTTTTCATGTAGGAGCAACTAGAATTCAGCAGAAGGTGATGGAACAACCAGGACTGGTCTACAGGATGGCAACTGATTTGACTGCAGCAGGCCATATGCTTCTGTGAATAAAATCCAAAGATCTTTTGATGTTTTCAAACCACCTTTGCCAGATGTTCAAACAGAAATCCCAAAATGAGAGAAAGGCACTGTTCAAATGTGTATTTCACCATCTCACTTCAATATTGTAAATGGGGCCAAAAAGCAGACTTCCAAATGACTGTGCAAGAACAGAAACACACAGAGAACTAATATGAATTAGTCATTTGCAGGTGCAGTGATAGGTCAGACAAGATAAACAGTCTTAGCAGTACTAGAGACTGCATAGTAAGGCAGGCAATGGTTGCTCTGCTTGCTCATTTGAAGTGTAAAGCGCATTCAGCTACTGCTTTAATGCTGTTCCATGGTCAGGCAAACGCGATTCAATTGTTCAAGACTCTGCATATAACTTTAAAATGTGCCTCATAGCTTTTAATTGTATATCACAATACAGACCAAATGCCTAAAAAAATGAATGTGGGTTTTGGAATATTTAATCTTTCAAACATTCCTGATATTTTTAGAATAAGAGGTTCTATCAGAAAATTCCAGGACTGCTATTGTTCTGCCTTAAGAAATTTCTTTTTTTGAAATGGCTTAGTGGGGGGTGGAGTCCAACTGGGTCCACTTGGCACGGTGGCCATTGATTGGCCTATTGTAGCCTGCCCTGGGTGATTATGATGGAATGAAGATCGGACTCGGAGAAAACCTGCCCCAGTGCCACTTTGTCCATCACAAATCCCACTTGACCAGACGTGGGATCGAACCCAGGCCACCGTGGTGGGAAGCCAGCGACTAAATTCTTGAGCTATGGCACAGCCTTTCTAACTGCCTTGGTACCAAGGTCACACCTCTACAAGCCTACTACATCAGTCTGCCTTGTGACACCACGCTGTGAACACATGTTTTTACAGGAGTACTTTTTCCACTTTCGTTTTGTCTGCGATGGACGGCAAAATCGAGCAATGTGTCCGCATCAAGTTTTTGTGAAGTTCAGTAAATCTGCTACCGAAAGCCTTGAAATGTTTCGTGAGGCTCTTGGAGAACATTCTTTAAGCCGGACAGCAGTATTTGAATAGCATTCACCTTTGAAGGCCAGCTGAGTGTTAGACGAAGATGACAAACATTCAGGGCAACCAAGCACAAGCAAAACGACAAAAAATGTCGAAAGAATTCAGGAATTCACCCACGAAGACTATTGCCAAAACAATCCTCCATGAGCTCGCAGACACTGTTGGGATCAGTTATGGAGTTTGCTAGATCTTAACAGAAAATCTTAACATGTGCCATGTTGCCACAAAGTTTTTCCCCTCAACTCTTGATAAATGATCACAAGCAGTGACGTAGAAATGTGTCTCAAGTTAAGAGAGAAGGCTAATGAGGACCCAACTTTTACAAGTATCTCTAGGATATGGTTATTATCCAGAAACAAAGCAATAATCGTTGCAGTGGAAGAATCCACACAACCACCAAGAGCAAAAAAAAGTGCAGCAGGTCTGGGGTTCAACAAAGAGCATGCTTACTGTTTTTTTTACATGAAGGGGATTATTCAGTGAAATTTGTTCCTCCTAACACTACGGTCAACTCTTACTTTTACTGTGATGTTCTGAGACATTTGAGAGAAAATGTATGACAAAAAAAGACTGGAATTTTTGCATAACCACAACTGACTCCATCATGACATCTGCCCACAGGTCCGTGAAGATCACACAGTTTGTGACTAACAACATGGTTATCATTCCCTATCCTCCCTACTCACTGGACTAATCCTCCGTGATTTCGCTTTGTTTCCCAAAATGAAAATGAAACTGAAGGGAAGATGTCTCTGAAACAGTGTCACATGTATAAAGGGAATCCCAAGAAGTAAGCATTAAGGATAATGACTTCCACAGTACTCTTGAAGCATGGAAAAAACAATGAGATCGCTGTATATGTTCCCAAAGAGAATACTTTGAAAATGGCAGCCAAAATTGAGCAAGTTAATCCAGCATTTCTTTTTTGACCTAGTCTGGAAATTTTCTGATAGCACCTGAAAGGAGAAGTTAACAATTTTCTTAAACTTGTGCAACTTCTTACATTCGCAGCAGACAGCTTATTAGGGGCAGACCTTTGCAAGCAAGTTCCACCCACTATTAGCTACATGCTCACAATGCACAAAATGAACGTCAAATAGCACCAATTTCAAACCTCCAATTCTGCAATGTCCATTTGTTTGTGTCATTGGTCTACCATTATACTGAACAGCTTATCATATTGTCTTAGTTCTTAAAAAAGGCAAACAAGTTTAAGTGAATCCATATCATCCCAATTTCCTCTTTGACAAGCCACTGACTTCATGAAGATGTATAACCAAAAATTTCACATTCAAATTTAAGGATTTCTGCTTCATTGCCCTAATTAAGGTTGAAAACTTGAACACCAGGCAGCAAAATCACACAAATACTTTTCATCCCAGTTCAATTAAATCATCCATTGTCATACAGTACTTAGATTATGGAAAGATGTTTTTTCCTCATACATACGGGAAAGGCCTACATGATGGGTTAACCATGCCATTATGAACCATCAGCTATAAACAGATTGGGATGCAGAACTGAAAGTAAAACATTATAGGAAAAATCTGTAGGAATCACTCAAAATATGAGTTTGGTAGAAAAGCCCTCATTTTATATGAGATTTATTCATATGTATTATTAATAGATCGATGCAAATGATTTTTGTTGCTGTGATGGAAGTTCTCAGTTACCGGTCATACTCTCTGAATTACAATTACTCTTAAAACTCAAAAGCAAGAATTCACAAGTTTTGGTATAAATGGTCTTTTAATTTTTTTTAATTTGCTCAATGGGGGGTGCTGTCCAACTGGGTCCACTTGGCACGGTGGCTACCGATTGGCCTATTGTAGCCTGCCCCGGGCGATTATGATGGAGAATTTGGTGGAATGAAGATTGGCAGGGGAAACTGAAGTACTCGGAGAAAACCCGCACCAGCGCCACTTTGTCCACCACACATCCCACTTGACCAGACCCAGGATCGAACCCGGGCCGCCGCGGTGGGAAGCCAGCAACTAATTGCTTCAGCTATGGTGCAGCCTATAAATGGTCTTAGAAGCAGCAGTGTAATAAATGAGTACCAACCAATCAATTCCATGGAGCTGAGCCCCTCTTGAGGAGCCAAGAATCATTCAGCTACTCAAGAATTACCCAAGAGCTTATGGACTCTGAAAGTTCATTACTGTGCTCACAAGAACCAATGCGTTACTAGGCATAAAAAAAACATACTCTTGTAGAAGAGCAAGATGATCTTCTGAAAAACTTTCATGAAGTTCATGTTGCCATAGCAGAACTCCTGTATCTTGAGCATGAGTGCCAGTTCTGAGCGGGCTGTCGTGGTGAATGCCTCAAAAAGCAGCGTATACTGCTTCAAATGTTTCAGTGCTTGTTCTGCCACTAGTTCTTCTTTCTTGTTCCATTCCACTTGAGACATCACAGTGGACCACACCTATGAAAGAACAAGAACAATCAGCTTCACTAAACCACTTATCCAAAAATGTATTCATAAACCTTTGTGTATTTGTCTGGTACAAACTGTAGAACATTACTCTACCCACATTTTATTTCTGAATTCTCTTCATTTGCATTAGCACACCCACAAAGGAAATGGTGCATTCATCCTGCCCTGCATATTACCAGCACTGAGAGGCTTTAAATTTATTTGAAGAACAAAACACTATGTTACTAAGGAAATCATATTCAAATGAGAGAAATGCAACATCCTGTCTGGAAAGTTTTCATCACAAATGAAGATTAGCTTGAAATATTTCTCATGAATGCATGAAAGTTTAACTTATCTATTAATCAAGTTGTTTCATGGCTAGGAGATCCAGAAAGGTAAAAAGGTCCATTCTGGTACTATGACACATGATTTAATCTTGGCTGCAACATGGATGGATAACTGAAAATGATAATTCAGCTTTCCAACTCAATTAGCCAGAGTTCCAAACAAAATAAAGTGCATCACCTTGATTGCAGAGGGAATGGATGTACAATTTAAGACGGACTCTTCCTTTTTCTATTTTTATTTATTTGTGACTGGGCAGAGACCCTTGGCACTGAGGCTACCAATGGGCCTATTACACCAGGCCCTGATGACAGAATCATATTGAGCACCGGTGGAATGAAAACTGATGGGAAATTTAAGTACTCAAAGAAACACTAGTTCTAGGAAGAGCTCAAACCAATTCCCCACACCACTGCAGGGGAATTATGTTTGAGATATCAGCCCCTTCTCTGAAATGGTTTTGGTTTGGTCTTAGACACAAAAATCTTGATACAGGAGAGTTTGCTTTTTGGGAAAACTATTAATTCTTCAACAAGAAAATCAGGGTATACACAAAATATTAACTTACAAGAGAGACCACTTCATGCTCGGCAATATTATTCTTTGCGGCACTTTCTTTCACATCTGTCACAATATCTTTGATTGCACGACCTTCTGACAACTGCTCTTCCAACTGAAGTTGCAGGTCACGCTTTGCTTCTTGGCTTGCCTGTTGTGAGGGAGACCAGAATTATTTCATTAATATTTTTAGAGTCATCTTGGAGTAAAGAAGATGACCACTGGTTATGAACTGATTTCAAACTGCATCAACTTCCGAACTTATATTTTTTTTAAAATATGATATAAAACCTGATGTGGCATGTCAGTTGTATCAGAATGACTGAATGGGTCATTAAAGCACAACATATCGGCAGAATACTCAATCATAAGAATACTATGGTTTAAAATCTGACAATAATGTTGTTGCAAAGGAGATTTTAACATTGCATATGCCCAGATAAAAGTGCTTCAACCATCAAAGCCTTTCCAGTTATTTCTGACAAGAAATTAAAACTACACTCAACTCCTGATTATCCGGGGGCTTATAAACCGGTCTGCGGCTTAACCGTGGCTTTTCTGAGGCTTATATGTTGTTTAATATTCATTCACTTTTGTTTCACATGGTGAGCTGTAACACTATTTTTGCACTAGTGTGAACCGAGCTCTGCATTTTTTGGCCCCGTTATCCTAACACAATGTTCTAGGGAAGGGATGAAAGAATGCAAGGATTTTTTGGAAAGTTTCAAGGACAGATACACCGCCCCAGTTAGTCTCTTTGTATCGCTCTTCAAGTGTGTTGTGTTACGTATTCAACAGAAACTTGAGATTATCAATCAGTTGGGAAAAAGAGGTGTAGTCAAACAATTAGCAATGCAATATGGCATTGGAGAACAAACTGCTTGTGATCCGGGGGGAAAAAAAAATCAATTAATTTCCTTTGCTTCGTCTTCTAATTCAAGAAGAATGAAGAAGAGAAAAACCATGAAAAAATCAACATATGATGATCTTGACAAAGCAATGCTGATCTGGTTTAATCAACTAAGGGCACAGGGAACAACAATAACAGGAGCAGCTTTTGCTAAACAAGCGAAATTTTTTTTCGAAGCACTTGAACTACAAGGAAGTTTTGACGCTTCTTCCGGTTGGCTAACACGTTTCAAGCAGCATCATGGAATACGAGAAATTAGTATTCAAGGTGAGAAATTGTCAGCGGACTTGTCATCATCAGTTCAATTCTGCACCAATTTTGATAGTTTCATGAAAAGTGAAAATCTGCTGCCAGAACAAATCTATAATGCCGATGAAATGGGTCTTTAAGGAACAGTAGCTTCAAGTCTGCCTATCCATTATTTAATCAGAAACCAGCTTGGATGAATAGAGTGATATTTAAAGAATGGTTTGATTTTAAATTTGTGTCTCATGACCATCTAAAATCCCAAGGCCTAGAGGAGAAAGCTGTGCTCCTCATTGACAATGCGCCTTCACATCCTAACGAAAGTCTCCTGAGGTCAGATGATGGAAATATTTTACTCCTAATGCTACCGCACTTATCCAACCAATGAATCAAGGAGTTATCTCAAGTATGAAGAGAATCTACAGATCAAATTTGCTATAGAAGTACATCAATGAACACAATGATCTGACGTGTTTCTGGAAGTCTTTTTCAATGTTTGATGCCATATACGAGATTTCAACAGGGTGGCATACAGTAAAGCCATCTGTATTGAAAAATTCATGGAAGAAACTGATGCCTTTCATCACTAATGAAGATGATGAAATCCATGGATTCACTGGATTCAGTGAAAATGAGATAGCCATAGAATTGACAAAATTGGCTAACCAAGTTCATGGTGGTGAAGATCTCAATGAGGAAAATATAAGAGAGTGGTTTGACTGTGACTCGTGTGAGCCAGGCTTCGAAATGTTAAGCAGTGACGAAATCGTAAGCTCAGTGGGGATGCAGCCAGAAGAGTGGGAAGAAAGTGAGAATGAGGAAGAGGTGGACAGTGCTGCTAGCAGGAAAATATCACATGGTGCTGCTCTTAATCATTTGGAATCCTTACTAGACTATCTTGAGAGTGAAGAGCACAGTTTATTAAGTGACAAGCTAATATTACATAGGTTTCGTACGGATATCCGTAAAAAGGAAAATGCCGCGAAAAAGCAAACGACAATATTAAATTTGTTTAAGTGTTAAGTGTGAATATTCGTAAAAAGTGTTGGATGTTGTTGAACACTGTGATTGAAATACCTAATTCACACTTCAGTGTAATGTAAAAAAGGTATTAAATAGGCCATGAGATGACATAAAAATGAGGTTGAATAAATTTTAATATGGGTAGGCCTGTAGTATTATGAAGGTACAGCATTACAGTACTAATTTTAATAAAATTTGTCTTAACCGGGTTTTCGATTAATCGTGATTTCTATCCCCACCATTATCCCGGATAATCGAGAGCTGAGTGTAAACTTTCCTGACTGGTATTAGTGATGCAGTGTCAATCACATTCTTTAAAACAAAAATTAATGAAACATATTGTCATGTTTATCTAGTTCTGTAGAAGTTATTTACAGTCTGTCAGCATCTTGATATGAATTTGTTTCAGCTTACACTATTGTACTATTTAGTTCTGGGACTCGCAGCTTGCATCTAACAGTATGATACTGGCCACTTGTCTTCTACAGCACGCACTGTTTCACAATATGCGAACGCACTTCGGTATACTCAAATGCACTCCACACACAACTATACTGCCTCTGCTTGCTTTATGATTATGGTTTCTAAATTATGCGAAAGTTGATGCACGTCGTGTTTCTGGGAGTTGCAAGAAGAGCGGGAAAACCTGTCACGTTCAACAGTGATACAAGTATGATTGGGGGGGAGGCACTAGCTTCCCCTACCTAGCACTCAGTCTGTGCAACATGCTACATTGTTAGAGACTAACATTTCCTTTCTGGTACTACTGTCATGTTCAACTTTTTCTTTGAGTATTCATTCAGTGAAATCTCTAATTAATGTTTCTCAATTACAGGAAGGTTTCCTCATACAAAATTCAATTTCTTTAGCCCATCTGAGGGCCTTCTTGGTTCAGTGCTTAAATAACTCAAGGAGAGGGAGAAACAATGAATGGGATTCCATAAGAGAGAGAGAAAAAAACATAAAAAATAAAAGTAAAGGTATCCCTGTAAGAGGCCATGGAGGCCCGTTGGGTTCTGAGATGTTGAGGTTCCCACATTTTCTACATAATCAGCTCATAGATGGCAGCAATATTGTCAGCCCTATGTGCCGGCTGCCCTCTACATCCAAGAATATTCCTGGAACTCATTTCTGGCTTGTAGCATAGTGCCTCAACCAACCATGCTACTGCGTGCAAAACAAGAAGAAGAAGAAGAAGAAGAAACCCATATAAATTTAATTATAACAGCCAATTCAACTGCTTGAAGCCAACAATTTCATTCGCTCAGAGGGATGGACAAAGGATAAAATGAATGGGTCCTATTTATGTCCTTGTAAAATCTGTAAAGAGAACAATAAAAGTAAACTGCAATATGAAAATGGAAGAAATGAAAGTGCATGGGCCAAAAATAAAATCGTTCCCTTCAAGTCAAACTGTCAATTCAGAAATTGCCAAGGTGCTCAATTTGCATAGCAAACCATTATCTAAAGTCCTGGATAATGGGTGTAAATACACTTGCAAAGGACATGACGATTTTTCTACTTTAATGAAGTAAAGCAAAAATGTGCAATATCTTTAAAACAGGACATTCCAAACCTTTTGAAACTAGTGTCAAAAAGCTGGGTCATCAAAGGACACACTTGGGGAGGGAGCATATGCACATGCCTCTTATTTTTGGACAATCCCTCCCCTCAGCTGGCTTCCTGATTCTTCATCAACCACACAGCTAGGACTACTGGAAAAAGAGAATCAGGAACCTAAAAAAAGTTTCCTGAATGACTTCACCTGTAAGAAAGTGTTCTGGAGTTCTTGAGTTGAGCAGCTGAGTCTTGCTGCAAGCCAGAAGCAAACATGTGCAAGAGTGCATGAGAAAGTTAAGTTGCAAGAAGACAGTGTTGCAAAACAGCAAACAATACAAACTGACATCAAGATTGTACAAATGGCTCATAGTAATGAGATAATAACTGCTGCAAATGTGATGCTACAATATGGTAAGAAAAACTCTTGCATTAAACAAGGAACAAGGTATCCTGGCTGAACCAACAAAGAATCTGGGAAAACACTTCCTGAAGAAACTGACATTTTATGAAGATGTGATCTATTGGATATGTCCACAACAGAAACAATATACGTCAGCCAAAACTAGTCTGAAAAACAATTCACAAACAGAAAAGACTCTGGCTTGTTAACCTCAAAGAATTTAAAGCACACTACCTATCATTAACTGGACTCTCAAAACGTTTTTCTTTACAGCCATCATGGCAAGTAACAATTGAATCCCTTGAGAGAGAGAAGTATACACCCAGGTTAGAACTTATGGTTGTCACATGGAAAAGAATGAAAGGTGTATTTTCTCCCCATTATTATGCATCAGTAATTCTCAGACCAACTTCAGGTATAAATGGTGTGCAAGTTGAGTAAACAATGAACTCAGTTTTAGTCTTAAACGCATTATGTGGATTCATAATCAAGGACCTCAAAGATTGCTGTTTGCCTCAGTTTTCTATTGTCTATGGTCTTTGCTAATCATATTCTGTCTACAGCAAATTAAGTCAGGAATGTAACCTTGGTAGTTTGCAAGGGATAGTGTAGTACTTTCTGAAAGGGATGAAGCAGTTATCCTGTAAGGTTTTACCTGTGCCTTGTGCAGTTTAACAATATCAGCCAATCCTTTCTCTTCAAATGTGGCTCGGAAATGCTCCTCAGTCCGTTTGTTTAGAGGAACAAATTCCATCAGTCTGCTCTCAATGCCACCCCTTTTTAGAGCAGTCGTAAGACTGGCAAGGCCCTTCTCTTGCTTCCAGGTGACAAACACCTCCAGCAAGAAGTCCAGAGCCAAGCTGTCTTTCACAAGGTGTTCCTGAACACAATAAAAAACATAACATTAGAATTCAGAGATACGGAATAATTGGTAGAATATCCAGGGCTACATAATCCAGCATGAACATCTCACTCCCAAAGAGCATGTCATTTTTTTAAAACTCAAGGTCAACAAACAAGAACAGCAAACTTTTTGTAACGTCCTCGTATATTCATCTTGACACATGATCACTGAAAAAGAAACCTTTCATATGAAAAAATCTTTTGTCTAGCAGTCTCCCTGTGCCCCTCCGCCAGGCTACTAGCCAATTGTAAGCAGATTCTTAAGAGTGCAAGAAGCAATCTATGTCTGCTGCTGCTGCTGTTGCTTCACAACCATTAATACATCACACAATTACCATGTAATGCCACAGTAGTAAATAACAGAATACTGTCATTGGAAATACATTCATAAAACTAACACAAATACATTATTATATCTGTACAGTTTATGGGAACTTTTGGTAGGGAACATTTTTTCTGGTTCATGACAAGTCTGTTCTAATCAGAACTGTAAGAAAGATTGGCTAGGTACTCAAGAGCTTCAAGAGTACAAGATATGAAGCTCCTCACTACACAATCTTCTCCAGCCTCCTATTTTTTCATCCCTCTTGGATCCAAATATACTCTTAAGCATCCTGTTCTCAAACACCCTTAGCCTATGTTCTTCCCTTAACGTTAGAGACAAAGTTTCACACTCATACAAAACTATGGTTTTGTGTATTTTAATCTTTACATTTATATACAGCAGACAAGAAGACAAAAAGGTTCTGAACTGAATGGTAGCAAGTGCTACCCAAATTTCCTCATGTATCAAATTACAAACAGGAGCTGGGATAGTGCAGTTGGTTTAGTGACTGGCTATGGGAGGGATGACCGAGGGGTTGGAGTCTTGATGGTTGGGCAAGAATTTTCTCTTCTCCAAATCATCCAGACTGGCTCTCGAGTCCACCCAACCTCCTATCCAATGGGTACTGGGGGTAAAGCAGCAGGGGCATGAAGCTCACCACTCACCTCAAACTAGTGCTGAGGTCAATAAAACGTGGATCTATACATCCACTTCCCCATATACCTTAATGGCATAGTTAAGCACAGGGACAACCTTACCTTTATCAAATTACAAACAGAACCATAGAAGGGGAACAACTGCTGTTTAATAGCAAGAAGACAGGGTACCCTATATAGGACATAAAACATATACAATAACTTTATCACAATCACTTGTGGCACTGCAAAATAAAAATAGAACATGCACCATTTACATGCTGAAAACTGCCACGTCATTTGTGCACAAAGCATTAAAAAACAACGCACTCACAAAAAACTCTATTCCATGATATCACAGACTTGTACTTCATGGCCCACTTAAAAAACTTTTAACTGCGTTCTAACATTTTACATTTTAAGGCTAATATTCAAATATAACAAAACACAGAAATCAAAATGAAATTTATATTAATGACCACTATTATCGTTCTACAGAAGAAATACAAATTAATAGTGAGTAGTACATTTCATCAAAACTGCCTGATGATCCACCTGGATCAAAACATGTAGCAATATACATAACAAACAAATTCTAATACAGTAATAATGGTTTATTTATTATGAATTTGTATGTTGACAGCTATATAATAATACTGAACTTTGATTTGTTAGTTGTTCTGAAATATTTGAACTTTACTACATTTTCAAAAGATCTATTACTTATACCGATGCTATGATTTTGTCCTTCATTCTGGTGACAAGACATCAGATTAGTCTCTCTTGTGCTTAGTTCTAGACCAGCCTCCTTGCTAGCATCAATTAAATTTGAGCTTTTGTGTTTTACTTTTTGGTAGTTATGGTGTCCCCCAACAGATTTAAATTCTCAGAACTGATCAGAAGCTGAACACATTTTAGTTAAAAGTCAAACTAGTTTCATCAGTACCTCAAACTCAGTAAGAATACTGCACAGTACTTCCATCCTAACTGAGCCCACATGCTTTCTTACAAGTCTGTAAATAGCTAATATACTGCCTCTTATACTCCCATTTTCTCTTCAGCATCTGAAGACTGCAAAAAATGTGATCAGCAGTTGATCTATTATGAAGAAACACCAATGATCCCTAATACTATTGTCTACATATAAACTTACTGTATATATTTCTGTATGAAGAAAATAACAGTGGTATGCCTCATAGCAGTTGGTGTTCTGTTCATTTAATCCTTCATAGTCATGTGCAATTCAAATATCATTGTTTTGTACATATATGAAAGTGTCCAAATGAAGGTCCAAAAGTATTGGAACATGCCATAGTTTCAAAAAAACATGCTCACCTGCTTGCCACAGTGACTAGAGAACACTACTAGTGGCAACACATTTAGCTTAGGTCTAAATGTAGCAAAAATGTAGAAACAATACCATTACCACAAAAGATTTATTATAATTAGTAAGGTGCAGAAAGAAAATTAAATTGTGGATCACTATTAAGTTACCTCCAACCTAACATACTGTCACATGTCTATGTGACTACAGATGGGTTTTGGAATGACTGGAATGATGATCAGGTTTACTGGCGTCTTTGATATAGCATGTGATTACACTTTACAATTCACTACAACCCACCCATTCATGCGAGTACATGCGCATGCACACAAACACACACTAGTGGCCACAATCATGTCTTCACTTGCTGTTGCTCGGTAGCAGCTTCCAATGGTGGACATACCCCTACCCGTGGGTTCCTGAATTGCCCCCAACCTCTCAGAGTTCTCTAAACCACTGATTGAGTAATCAGTTACTCACCTACTGACTGATTCAACTCAACCGACTCTCACTAATTCTCCTGCTCATATTTCAGCACCCACTGCACAGAAAGCATTGTTCCATTATTGCTGTGCATCTGTTGCCTATCTGCTTATTCCACAGTTGTTGACTAGCAACAGGCCTATATGCCATAATATAAATTTAGTTTTCAAATATCTGTATGAAACACAGTGCAATACCAATGGGTGGGTGGACTGTTCAGTGGCTAGCACATTATATGCTTTTATTTACGATGCCATGCAAAACATACAATAGAAATATAATAATGATGGTAACCAACAAAATTTTTGACATGAAGAATACTTTTGTTTAAAAATGGCATGTATATCTCAATTATAGAGCTTATGACATTCCTACAGGCACATTTTTTGGTCATCTCATCAACATGCTGAAAGAATTCTACTATACATACAAAAGGAAAAGGGCTCAACTGCATACCACAGAAAAATTATTAGAATGCTACACACTTGGGTGTAAAATTAAATTCCCAACCATCTAGAACACAATACATTTCCACAAAAAATCAATACATACATTAATAAGTACAAGCAGCACGGTTGGTGGCACCGAGCCATTGGAGATCCACAGTGCTGTCATGCGAGCCAACTTAATACGTTCTAACTCAGTAAAACCTTTAATGAAGATCAGGATTTTCTTCATCTCATCCTCAAACATCTTCTCAAGGTATTTGTATCGGCGCATAAGTTTGATGAACACCTGTAACAGAACAGAAATACAAAATAAGCAAATGTAAATACAAAACATTAAATCTACAACACAAGTGATCTTTCACATACAGTGGAAACCTGTTGGCCTGTCACTGACCCTAACACACATATAATAACCCTCTAAGCCAGTTAAAAGTCCCATGTATTATCTGCCCATTGCATTCTAATACATCGCCATCTACACTTAACTCTCCCATGAGGTCTGTTTCCATGGGGTTTTCTGACTCAAGAGCATGCATTTGTGCACGCTACATCATGTCCATCTCATTCTTCTTTATTTAAACACATACATAAATATAATATCACATCATACAGTAACCATGCTACATCATGCCCATCTCACTGTTCATTTAATCATGTCTTACAGCACATAAGCAGCTACAGACAGAAGTACATCAGTGGTTACCTTCAACATTGAGAATGCTACATACTGCACATGACTATTCATAAACTTATGATGGAAACGATATTAGTGTCACACAATTTACAGACCTAGTGAAATCTATAATAAGCATATGTTTTGTAATTAACAATCCAGCGGTACTGAGACAGACCATAAATAAATCTTCAGTTTTATATGCAGCACTCTGTAGCTCAGAAATCAGAAACATGGTGCAAAACAGAGGTTACATTTGTCAACTTTTCAGTAGTTGGAATATGTATTGGCTGTAATTACGCACATACACATCATAAAATTCATGGAAGCATCTCTAATTAATTAATTCGCTTAGTGAGGGATGGAGTCCAACTGGATCAATTCGAATGGCGGCCACTGATTGGCCTATTGTAGCCTGCTCCAGGTGATTATGATGATAGAGAATTTTGGGGAATGAAGATTGGCAGGGGAAACCGAAGTACTAGGAGAAAACCTGCCCCAGCGCTACTTTGCCCACCACAAATCCCACTTGACCAGACCCGGGATCGAAACCGGGCCAGTGGTGGGAAGCCAGCGACGTAACCGCTTGAGCTATGGCGCGGCCCTCAGGAGCATATCTAAGTTCTATACTGATTTTTTTTTTCTACACAATAAATGGTTCTGCAAAGCAGCAGGAAAAAGTGATAAATCAAAATGCACAGCATAATTAGATTTCAGTACTCTAAGTTATCATAAGACATCTGAAGAAGAAATGCAAATTATACATATTATCAGACTTAAGAAAGCACCATCATGTGATCACGACACAGCAGAAACAAAATACATATAACAACACAAGTTCACCTGTTCATAGTTGTGCATTGAGTCCATATCCTCAGGTGCCTCAAATACACAGGCATTGGTTTTGCAGGGTTTATCCCCATCCTGAGCTATCGAGCCACCAGGAACTGGAATGAAATGCAAGATGTGAGGGCAAACTATAGTTTTAAAGTACAGTTTCAATAGATGTCTGCAACAGCTGCTTCAAATTTTTCAAACACTGAGACACTCATTCTAAAATATTTAGCCACCACCTGTCATCTGAAAATGGTGTGGAATTCCCTCTCCTTCCACTGCTCTAAACACTTTAGGAATACAATATTTTCTTTGTTGTTTTCACCTGCAATCATCACATTCTCCTCACACTGCTCCATGATGATGACAGTTGGAGATTGGTTGTAGCACAGCTCTGTATGTGTAAACGTTAATGACAACATATTCTGTGCATATAAAGGTATAGTTGTCCCTGTGCTTAACTAATTAAGCATTACACCATGAAGATGTATGGGGGAGTGGATGTATAGATCCACATTTTCTTGACCTCGGCGCTAGTTGGAGGTGAGTGGTCAGCTTCACGCTTCGGCCGCTTTACCCCCGGGAAAGAACCCCAGGTACCCATTGTATAGGAGGTTGGGTGGACCTCAAAGCTGGTCTGGACAACATGGAGAAGCGAAAATTCTTGACCTCACCAGACTTGAACTCTGACCTCTCGGTCATCCAGCCTATAGCCAGTCGCTATACTGACTACGCTATCCCAGCTCCTATTCTGTGCATATGGATCAGGAAATTGAAATCAAACACCTTGAAGATTTGGACTCTTTACTGGCATAGAGCTTGCAAAATCTGATAATGGATGCAGTATGGGTCATTCCACGTGAAATCATCCAGAGGGGTTGCCCACCATTTTTAAAAAAATTATATTTTGTACACTTTTTTTTTCCCTTGGCACTATAGCCCCAGTGGGCCTAGGCCTACCTTCATGAACTTCTCTGTTCACTTCGGTTTTTCTAGATCTTACACATTCGGTAGGATTCCTTGGGCAGGTGATCAGCTCATCGCAAGGCCTCTACCTGTACACAAACTCAGAAAAATGCACACACACAAACTAAACATCCATGCCCTGAGTGGGATTGGAACCCACGATCTCGGTTTCCAAGTGAGCGAAGACAGTACGTGCCTTAGACCGCTCGGCTACCATGACCGGCTATTTTGTACACGTACATATTTTCATACTATAAAAATATTTTTAAAAAAATTGTAATCCGCTCCGTTCTCCCGGTACAGACGTTTTTATAATGCGAGAAAACGCGTTTTCGGCTGAAGTGGAGGTTTGTGTTATCTTCCATATCTCGATAACTATTGAAGCTAGAGACTCCAATAAGAAACCAATTTGTTCCCCATGATATGGACTATAAATCATATTATTATAAGGTTTTACTCAACTCGCTTCCTCTAGGTCTAATTAAGCTCGAAAGTTACCTATCGATTTTGGGAAAAACGCTATTTTTGACCTTCAAAAACCAATTGGAGGGGGAAAATACCAGATCTGTGGTTTCCACCCTTTGTTGTTACCTACATGGGGAATATGATCATGTAGTTTTGAACCCCATACCTAGTTTCCAAAATTTTTGAGGAGATTTCAAACTTTGCCCTGGGCCCCAAATCAATCGTCTTTAACATCTCATATCTCCGATGAAAATCGTCCAGTTTGCTTGAAAGTAGTTCAGGAATTGTCCACTACCATGATATCTTCGAAATCATCAGACTTGGATATTTTATAACACCTGACTGTGTTTTCCTCCAGAGGGACGACCCGGTGTTTTTCTCTTGTGTGGGGTACAGTTTTGCACTTTTGGAACCTGCTTTTTAGAATGATTCCATTTCTTGCAACGTCCTCTGTTGGCACAAAAAAGTAAACTATCCCTGAGATATTTTCTGTGCAAAATTTGTAGGTCTGGCGGGCACATGACTTGATTAAAATGAGTTCTTTGAAGACTGGCTTTCGCTGCTTGCCTATTCGTGGTGCCGCCAATACTGTCACAGGCATTCTTCCCTTCCGAAGTGGCAAAAAAATTCCATTCTGCTTCAAGTCTGAAGTCTTCATAGTGATGACATAAATTGGAAAGATTCTTTTTGTTCTTATATTGGCTTCCAGTGCCATCACTGGAATAAATAACTTTCCTGACTGAAGGCACATTTTCTTTTATATCGGCGATATGATATTTTTGGAACACATAAACTGTGGTTATATTGTGCTTTACATGATCATTGATTATACACAAGCTTCGGAATTTTGTTATATGGTCCGCCTTGTAGCAATACACAAATGGGTGAAGTGTAGCCTGTTGATTTACCCAATGGAAACTCTGAATCTCGTCTTGAACGAGAAACGGAATAGTTTTCTGCAAAATCTGCAAGAACGAGGCACTGTGTTTCATCCAGGCTTTCCCTCGTTTCTTTCAAATACTGCGACTGAATTTTAGCCACATAGTGATGTTTTTTCAGTTGTCAGTTTTTCAATGAGAGATTCCAGAATTCACTGTAACTTTGCATTACAGAAATCATGTTAGCTCTGTCCGTGTTGACCCACTGTTTGCAGACTATTTGATCGGGCATGCTCTCTGATTTGGCTGATAGCAATTCCGTCAGAATTTCTACTCCAGGGCAGTCTGTGCATTCATTACTCATGCACTTATAACTTTCGATGTCACAAACCATTACACATAATAAATCCTTGTAGTCCGAATTCAATTTTGCTCCCTCTAGCATCAGCTTAACATTTTGGTGATAGCTGCACACACAGACGGTATGAGTCCCCGATGCACCAGCAATGATACACCACTTCAGTCAAAGTGCACAAAATTTGGAGAAACCAATTTTGTGTTCAGGTTGAGTATTCTTAAAGTGAATGTAAAGTTCCTTCAAATTGCATAGTATTAGCCGTTTCTGCATACACTCTTTGATACTTCCCATGTTAACACTCACACAATCCTTTTTTCCAGGGCAGATCCTACTGTTTTCATTGGTTTCATAAAATTCTGTGACAGCCTGAATTGTTTCATCACTAACTGTCTGGCCCCTCCTTTTGCCTAAATCCGGAAGGATCCCTTGTGTCTGCTGAAGCGCTTGAGTAATTCTATCCAAGTGCTCAGAAACTTGAAATTCTTGACTTATCCTCTGTCTTGACCACGAAGTTCGCAATAAGCTAATGATTTTTTCTTCTTTGCTTGAGATTAAACATTTCTCCTTTAATTTGTTAATCAACAAAACATACTCTCCTCACTCAATACAGAGGAAGGTATTTTGTTCATCTGAATCAAGATCCATTGAGTCGTCTGAAAATGAACTTGCTAATTTCTTTTGAAGAGAGTCGGATATTCTACATTTTTTTATAAAGCAGCGGGTCTTTTCCTTGTATTCATCTTCATAATTTTAGCCATAGGAGAAATATCTAGAGCCGAACATACTGCTTCTAATTCTGCCAGATTTTCTTGCATAGGTGCAAACTCGTTCCTTTCAGAACGACTACTGCCCCCACTTATGGTTTCTTTAAGAACAAAAATCTTTGTGTAACAATTAGGACACAAGGATTTACCTGGTACTAGAGCTACCGGAAAATTCTTTTCTTTCTTCATATGTTCTAAAGAAATTTCACGTAAACCTTTCTCAATGGTTGGTTCATTTGTGCACTTTTAGCGGGTCACAACAAATATTTCCAAACAGGTGATTGTATTTAACAGAATACTTAATCTCATGATGCTTGCATATGGAACTCAAATCACATTCACCCAATCTTAACTTTAAAACAGTTTGTTTCACTTCACTCAATTCACTCACAAGCGTTAACTGTTTGTTGACGGCACCATAGAGTCTTATGACATTTTTCACGTGTGACAATACCTATAGAACATTCCATTTCAAAAAGCTTTTACTTTCGACTTGGAGAATACTGAGCTCGATATACCTGGAAGCTCTACAGTTGCTGAACATACACTGACTTACAGTTTGAGACAACATTCATGGGAATGCTTCATCCATACATAAAGCTGCTGAGAAAGCAGCCCAACACTAACGTCACGATTATAAAAGTTTGGGTTCAGATGTCAAAACACACGAGGCATGAAATAAGAGACCTACATCCATGTTTATAGCCAGCTAAGAACCGAGTGTTGATAAAATGTCATTCCGAGAAGTAAGTACGGGCCTGAAAATTATTTTAACGACAAATGATAGATCTCTCATCTTTTACACCGAATAAAGAACCGCCAATACCACTGGATGCAGGTAAGCCAATTATTGAGGTATTGATTTCTTTAGTAAAATTCAAAGTGCCCACAACTTCACTCGTATTTGAATATCAAAGTTGTAATTTTATCTCCAAGTAACCCTAGAATAGAGCATTATTTGCTATGAATTTCAAAATTTTTGGAGCTTCGCCACCGGAGATATGAGATGTTACAGATGGTCGATTTGGGGTCCAGAGCAAAGTTTGAAATCTCCTGGAAAATTTTGGAAACTAGGTATGAGGTTCAGAACTACGTGATCATATTCCCCATGTAGGTAAAAACAAAGGGTAGAAACCACAGATCTGATACCTTCCCCCTCCAATTGGGTTTTGAAGGTAAAAAATAGCGTTTTTCCCAAAATCGATACATAACCTCCAAGCTTAATTAGACCTATAGGAAGCGAGTTGAGTAAAACCTTATAATAATATGATATCATGGGTAACAAATTGGTTTCTTATAGGAGTCTCTAGCTTCAATAGTTATCGAGATATGGAAGATAACACAAACCTCCACTTCAGCCGAAAACGCGTTTCTTCGCATTACAAAAACTTCGCTATTAATTGAATATCAAAGTTGTAATTTTAACTCCAAGTTACTCTAGAATAGAGCATTGTTTTCTATGAATTTCAAAAATTTCGAAGCTTCTCCACCGGAGATATGAGATGTTAAAAATGGCCGAATTTGGGCCCAGAGGAAAGTTTGGAAGCTCCTACAAAATTTTAGAAACTAGGCACGGGATTCAAAACTACGAGATTATATTCCCCATGTAGGTAAAAACAAAGGGTAGAAACCACAGATCTGATACTTTCCCCCTCCCATTGGTTTTTGAAGGTCAAAAATAGCGTTTTACCCAAAATCGACAGGTAAATTTCAAGTTTAATTACACTTAGAGAAAGTGAGCTGAGTAAAAACTTGTAATAACATGATTTGTAGTCCATATCATGAGGAACAAATTGCGTTTTCGTTGGAGTCTGTAGCTTCAATAGTTATCGAGATACGGAAGATAACGCAAACCTCCATTTCAGCCAAAAACGCGTTTTTTCGCATTATAAGAGCGCCTGTACCGGGAGGGTTACAATTTTTTAAAAATATTTTTGTAGTATGAAAATATGTATAACTAAGTGTACAAAATATATTTTTTTTTAAATGGTGGGTGACCTCTCTGAATAATCTCACGTGGAATGACCCGTATGTACGTCTGAACTTTGGCATGCAACTATCAGGCTACACTGCGTTCTAACCCAAGAGACCATAACATGAATCTGCGGATAACTTCAAAACTCATAACAGAAGTTTAACTTGAATTTTATCTAGGTGTAAACAACATTTGACGCCCACATGCAATGAGTCCATGCATTCAAATATATACAACACGCTTGGACCTTAGTCCTCTGGGTGTGAATTAGTCTTTAGCAGTTTCCATTTGGACTGTCTGCATTAACATAAATATCAAGATGATAGTGAGAGTGAATAAACAGCTTGTAAAAATATTTTAGTAACAAAAGGTAATCTGTTCAACACCCATGTGCTAGACCAAGCACCAAGAAAAGGTGACTATGTTCTAGGACAGTGGTTATGTGTGTGTGATCAAGGAAGTGACTGATGTTTAACTTACCAAGCAAACCACCTGCAATAAGGATGTCAAAAAGTGCTTCGCCATAGCGCCGGTAATCCAGTTTTGAACCAGCTGTGTCCAGAAATTTTGACACAGCTTCTAGGTCAGTTCCAGCCTTGTTAAGACCCTGCAGCACAGCATCTCGAAAACCTGCAGGGTCATACTTCTCTTTTTCATCTGAAAAGGGGGGGGGGGGGGGGAAGAAAGAACAATGGCCTATGAAACTAATGACACAATCATATTAACTAGTCAAGTGGTTATAACGTTCATATTCTTTGATAAAGTAAACGGGACAATTGCTGTGGAAGGTATACATTTCTTCAAAACATGCCAGATTTGGTATAAAATCATCTGAATTTTGTGAAGCCAAATCTGGTTAGGTATGAAATTTTATTATTTTTTCACCAGGCACAGTAACTGCTCTTGAGTTGCAGTAATGTTTCTGGTGGTATAATCAGGTTACTGATGATTTCATAGTCTGTAAGAGATAACAAATTGCAGTCGATGTTTGGAAGAACAGTTCAATTCATTCATCCATACTAGCCTTGAGCTTGCAAATGAAGTACAATTTCAGCCAACACAGCAATAAGAAACTCTGTTTATCAACGAGGCATCCACAGTGTCACAATAAGCCAAGCTAGGGGTGTGTTTTCGCTAGACAGTTTTGTCAGCCAACTACTATGATCTGTTTCATTTCTAAACACTAGACTCCAGTCAAGATGACTGTATACTGAATGTGCATGATTCAGACATACATATGAGATCATGTAGCCTGAACCAAAATGAAAGTCAGTGGTGAGAGCGGCAGATTTTTTGAGAATAAAGCTAAAAGTATGGAATTTTACTTATATATATATACTTTAATGTAATGGCTATAGAAATGAAAACATACGTATGTGAAGTCTGGTAATTGGTCCTTATGACACATGATTGAGATACTGCATTTTAAAAAGGCACCAAAGATTATAAAATTAAACACTGCAGTGACAAATTTAAATGTCTGGGGGAATTTAATGTGCCACTGCAGGAGAGATAAGAATAAAGAATAGAACCGCTTGGCTCGTTAACAGAGATACACAAAGTCTGGACCTTCAACATTACTGTAATTTAATGTGCCATTTTATGACCCTTTCAGTACTGCAGACTACATAGCACTGAATGTTAGGATGAGAGATGGTCAATTAGACAGGATTTGGAAGAGACCAGGCATGGCGTAATTGAGGTATGATACCAACACTTGCCTGGAAGGACTGAGGGAAACCATAAAAACCTGTCAGAACAGCCAGTGTAACTACAATTCATCGTAACTATAACACAAAATGTTTGTTACCGCATTTCGCAGAGTCCATGATTCTCAACACATGATTTCAGGACAGCATGAAGTGTGGAGGCAGTTTTACTGAAATTTCGAACTTGAGTATGACAGTATAACCATTAATGTAGAATGGAGCAATTTCAATTATTTAGATTTGTTCACTGAATACTCGGGCATTTTAAAATGCAGCATCAATTGCTGTGGTTATATGATGATGAATGTGGTATGGTAGGATAATATGAACCCTGTAGGGAGGAATGTGAAGAGCCCAGCATTTGCAAGGAGACTGAGAAAAACTACCTAACACCCATGTTATGTTTCAAAGGGATCTGAACTGATACAACATTAATGTAAGATAGACATGTGTGTTGATTTAATTTTGTGTCTGCGGTCTAGAAAACCGAGATTAACAGCTGTGGGGATTCATTGTACTGACCACGTGACACCCTCTATCTGCAAAAGAATGCACTAAGTTCACAGACAAGTGGTGGTCGGTATAGGCTGCTTGCGGACTACAGGCCACAGAGTTCTTTTTGTATGTCTGCATGATTACTCGATGTGTGGGCAGTTGTGGACTACAGAGCAGTTGAGTTCACTTTCAAGTTGTCATCAATATAAGTATAAATACAAGCAATCAGGTACACACTGTGACATTTATGGTTTTCAGAGAAGTGACAATTTAGACTACAGTCTTCTTGGTTATGACAACTGTATAGTCTCATAGGTGCACAACCCACAAGGTTACACAATGTCACAACCCTGAAGTTCACAATCTAAAATGTTCTGGTATTTGCTTTTCTTGAACCAGTTATCCCCACCTCACCTTCACTGCTGTATGACCTTGCATTCTCTTCCAGTATAGGGTAATAAAACCAGCTTAGTATTAACGGTAATGTCTGTAAATAAGATTGCTCCTTGCTACAAATTATTAGCGCAATCTTGTTCTAACATGTGGATTCAATAAGTGTGTGTAATTTTCCTCATATATTAGGATGAATTTATGTGGGGACTATTTTAATATTCCAGGAACGGTTTTCTGATTTGCTAATTCTCACATTTATAATTATTGTTACAATAAATACAAGCAGATGCTATAGGAATGATGCCTCCTTATTTTCAAACCACTTCATGTGAAACATGAAAGGGTTTAATAACAAAGTTATACAAAGTATTTTTCCTGGTTCCAGAAGTTTGCTCTAACAAGAATAATAAACACAATGACATTGTGATTACAAATTCAAGGAACACCAAGAAAAATTCTACTAGCCTACTAAAGTTCAATATGTATTCCATCTGCGATTGTACAAGTACCAAAATGGTATTCTCTCCCTTATGGGTCATTCCACATCAAGTTAATGCAATTTAAAAGCAAAAATATTATGACCATCTCTGGCTCCAATACAATTTTTCATGCTTGCTATATCTCCTTAACCCTTTGACGTTGTCATTTAAATTCCGCGGCCGCGGCTCCTGCGGTAATATATTCAGCCGGCCATTTAAATTTTGCTCAAAAATTATTTATTCATCATTGTTCTTAAATTCTATGAGATAGGAACATGAAACTTTCACTAAAATGATCTTAAATTGTGGTTTTATAACCTTACCTTATAATATGGGAGCCCTGTATCTCGGCCATGGGTGCAGGTTGTTTAGTATTTGAGCAGTGAATGGTACGCCTTGAAGGATGAAACTTTCACTAAAATGATCTTAAAAGATGGTTTTATAACCTTGCCTTATAATATGAGCACCCGGTATCTCGGTGGTGGTTCAGAATTTGAGCGGAGTGTTACACGCATTGAAGCATTCTACTATAGACAGCGCTGACTCACATCACCATACCAGTACTGCGTATCTCTCATTTGGCTATTTTTTCCGTAAACAAAACATCTTCTGTGAGGCCCTGCCTTCTTCCCCGTGGGGGGAATATAAGAAGAAATGTCTCTCCGTGAGTCGTATCGCTAGCCAGATTAGCTGCAGTAAATTCGACCTTCATGTTATCATAACAAGTGTTGGTGCTTCTGCGTTTCATTTTCCATCCATTTTGGCGGCATAAGACGTCGTAGGGGTGACCACAGAATTCATGAAGTTATTCTAAGAACTGGCTGGTATGTAGTGAACGAAAGCAGAGCTTAGCTGGCTCAAAAAAATATTTATGGTCATCCCTCGAAACGACCACGAAGGTCAGTACGATAAAATGGCGTCAACTGGAGCGATAATACATGAAGGAATGAGTTCTTTCCCTCCCCCACACACATCCGTATCGTCTCAGGGGGTGACCACAGTGTTCTGCCTTAATTCGTGACGTTTTTCTAAGAACTGGGTGCTATATACTGTGCGAAATCAATCGATCGTGCAACAATAAAGTTTTGGACATCCCTCTTCTAAGAATTCCAATTGAGTGTGTTTGTGTCGCCAGCTCAGGGCAATATGATATTATAAACACAAGCACATATCAGTCTCTACTGTTTATAAGTTCATAAGAAACAAAACAGGCCTTTCATGACAGGAGAACCGAGAAACCTCTCCCAAGAGCAACAGGAACTTTGCTGCAAGACAGGCATATGTAACGATGACTTGGCGCAGATAAAGTCGTGTCTTATTTATACTCTGTTCTACTGACAACAGGCCAGCGAAAAATCTAACAATCTACAGCAAAACCATCAATTATTATGGGCGTTATAACGTAGGTGTGCAGCTGGACGAAACATACACGTCGAACCCCCCCAGACGATTTAAATCCCTGACGAAACATACACGTCGAACCACGGCAACGGGTTAAGAAGTGACATATATAAAATTTTACCTTCCTGTATCCATTAATTGCAGAGAGACAGAATTTCAAAAACTCAAGTTTTCCTTCACTTTCCCTTTCTGATTCACTAAAATAGTTACAACTGTAGCCCTAAATAAGATAGAGGGATAATTCTTGTATTAATTGAAAGTTAGGTGGAGCCTTCATTTGGTATGCCACTCATAATATTTTATGACACATTAACATTTAGACCCTGACCTCTTGCTCATTTATAACAAAACCTATAACCATATATGCAAGTTTTCCCCACACTTCATGATCATTCCAACACATCTTTGGGAAGGATAATGCTGGGACATGAAAATGAAGAGAAGACAGCATTTTTATGTTTGTTAGTGGTCTCATTAGGCATGATGAGCCATGCTGTGACATGACATGACATGTAATTAGAACTTGTAACCAAGTTTTTATGGCCTCAGTTTGGAAACTTAATTGTCACACTGTGTATGTAGCTTACTGTAACCTTTAATCCAAGTGATTAACAGAAATATATAGGTAATCTGTAGTTATAAATAAATATGTATTTCATCAACCACCTATATACCAATATTAAATTTTCCAAAGCTGTAATTAAAGAATCACAAAAAGTTTTGGATGAAACTTCCATAAACACAGCTAGATTTGTCCTGAAAATTCCAAACACAACTTGCACTGGCGATCAAGATTTAAAGTTCAAAGTTTACTCTGCTTCTGGTAATAAAATTCAATGTGTGGTATGTAAACTCTTTACAGAGATGCCAGGAATGCATATAAAACAACAGAAAGCATTTCCAGCAACTGCTGCAATTTTGACAGGTTTTATCTGTAATATATCACAAAGTAAGTTTGTCAGTTATGCTAGCAGCCCAATCTCCACAGTCAAATTCAATGGGAGAGGTACCAGGTAGCCGTGGCAGGGTAACTGTGACTTTCTTAGGTCACATGTTACAGGTAGTAATGACATCATCCTCAATAAGGTTGGCCGAACTATGGCCCTGTCTTTGCGTGTCTTTGGTTGGGACGCAACATTGACCAGGGATGCGTTGGGACACCTCCTCGTGGTCCTGCTGG